ATATATGTGCATAGCAAGCCCTGATTTTTACCTGGATTGTGTGTTTAGGGAGGTACTTGGGGAATTATGGGAATTTGTGAGCTTGTCAATATATATGCACAGTAAGCCCTGGTTTTAACCTGAATTGTGTGTTTACTGGGTGTGGGGGGGAATTATGGGAATTTGTGGGCTTGTCAATATACTTGTATAGAAAGCCCCGATTTTCACTTGAATTGTATGTTTGGGGGGGGGGGGCTTGGGAGAATTATGGGAATTTGAGGGCTTTTCAATATATTTGCATAGTGAACCCTGATTTTTACCTGGATTGTGTGTTTGGGGTGGGGGATTTGCGGAATTATGGGAATTTGTGGGCTTGTCAATATATGTGCATATTAAGCCTTGATTTTTGCTGTTTCTTTGGGAGGCTCTTGAGACTTATTTTCTACCAACATCTACATGGTTAAGTACAATTATCATGTGGGATAAATGTTACATAGGCTTTGGAAAGGTTTACAGAGATGGAAGTGGGGGTACTTGCTACTTCTTCGGCCCTCCTTGGGGCTCATAATCAAGGTGAACTACAGTGGATGATGATCATGGCTGGGACTGTTTTGATCTGGAGAATAGAACACAAAGTGGATTTGGGGCTTGGGTTACAGAATGTATTTGACTCATGTCTCATTTGACCACAACAGAGGACACAGTGGGGGATACTAGGGTCTTCTTCCCAACATTCCAGGGCACCACACCAGGCCACTATGGGTGACCACAATCTTGAAGGACAAGTCTGGGGTATAGTGGACTTCAGGTTCATTCCACATTCCAATTGGGCTTCATTGTGTTTAACATGGGGACCATGAGTGCTGATAACCACCCACCCCTTGTAATAAGTGTGCTTTATTTGTATTTTCACTGAGTGATGTTCCACATATTGAGATGTTTATCTCTTGTTTTAAGTAATTTACATGTTGATGGACTGGTCCCATTTTTTCTGATGCTTTTGCTTATTTTTAAGAATTCTTTATGTATTAATCACCCCTTTTACAGTCTTTTACCAAACTCCTTCCCCCATATTTATTATGTGATTTTCATTTTTATATAACCACCTCCCCTGACCCCTTCTGGCTTTTAGGTCTTTGCCATGCTTAGAGAGTCCTTCTATAGACCAAGATCTTAATTGGAAAACTAGCTATTTTTAAAAAGTAACTTTTAAATTTAGATGTCGATAACAGATCCACATCTAATTCATTCTGGTATGCGGAGTGAGGTAGGGATCGTTTCCCCCCCAGCAGCTAGCCCACTGTATCAAAACCATTTCTTGAATAATTTCACTTCCCCCAACTGACTGGAGCACTGTTTTCATATTTCACCACATAATTTAGCCCATAACTGATTTAAAAAAACCTAACATTTTTTCGAGGGAGATCAGGTAAACAGGCACACCATGTGAGGATGATCAGAGTGTGAGTTGGCAGCAATGATCAAAATGTGATATTCCTTGACATACAGTGTCCCAAAGATTAAGTCATTACTCCCATTTTAGTAACTTGGGGCCTGTACCTCAACATGGGCTTCCAAACTCCCAATGAAAAGGCCAAGTTTAACCCTCAAACCATGGGAACTGCTTCAGATCGCAAATAACTCACAGGAGTCATTTCTTTCTTTGCTCACATTTAATTTTTATTTTGATTTTTTTTAATGCTGCACAACACAATATTTATTTCATTTATTTCATTTTTTATTTCATTTGTTTCATTTATTTCTTTATTTCTGTTTGCTGCTTTTATTTTAGTTACTGAAAAGAGAGAGGGAACTTTTGTGGCCTTTTTTTCTTTTTCTTTTTCTGTAGGCCGCCTTAAGCTTTCTAAATTTGGAACATCTAAGCAAGCTGAAGGGAAAAGGGGGTTTCGCAAAATCACTCGGGGAAAGGAAAGGTTGCTTTGTTAATCATGCCCTATGGTGGGTGATTAACTGCTTGTACAATTACGTTTCACTTTTAATTAATTGTGCTTAAGGCTTTAATTAAATTTGGGGGTTCCCTCTTTAGAGCAGCTCGTACTGACGAAGATGCATGCGCTGGATGATGTCGCGGCAGTCGTTGAACACACGGCGGATGTTCTCAGTGTCCACAGCGCAGGTGAAGTGAGGATAGCAGTAGTGGCGCCCATCTCCACTAGCAGTGCTGATTCTCTGTGGGCACAAGTGCAAGGTCCAGTCAGTAACCCTCTCCAGGAAACTACACTGCCAACCCAAGGACAAGTATGACAAGTATGGACCAGCTGCCCGTGTTACAAGAAACCAAAATGCGATGAAGGGGTTTGAACACCCAGAATGGATGCTGGTTGGGAATTATAGAAAAGAAATGGAAGAACTGGATGGTTTAATCCCTACGTTTGGAATTAAAAAGTTTATATCTGTAGAAAAGAGTGAAGACTATAGAAAGCTCTACTCACCAGAAACTCATCTCGAATGAAGTACTTGGCCCGGGTCACGCGTGGGTCCTCTCCGGGCTCGGGAGTAGCTATAAAGAATGGAGATATTTTATTAACTAAAGTAATAAAAAGATAAGAGCACAACTAGGGTATTAACACCACTCTAGCCCCTTAACTTCTCAGCACTCTTGATTTCTCCACCCAGATAGGCTTTTATGCCTTGAGTGTGCCCACATCAAACACGGAAGACACACGTACCATCCTCAGGAGTAGTGTAGCGAGCAAATTCTGGAAAGTAGTCCTCAATCTTCGATTTTCCAGCAAGGACTTTCTCAGCGAGCAGATCTTGCTTGTTGAGGAACAGAATCACAGAGATGGTGCGCAGCCATCTAACAGAGAGAAGGGTAAGTTTAATGCTGGGACAGTGCAAATCAGGGTTTGAGAGCAGCCCGGGAGCTCCAGGGCAAGCAGGGTACTTGTCCCAGCACATACCTGTTGTTCCAGATGCTCTTGAAGAGGTTCAGAGCCTCCTGCAGGCGGTTGGTCTGGTTGTCCTCCCGAATGACCATGTTGTAGCTGCTGCTGGCCACCACGAAGATAATGGCAGTCACATCTTCAAAGAGAGAAAGAGCAGTGAGAGTTAGAAGCAGAAATGTCCCCTAATAATTACAAAAGCACGTGCTCTTGGAGTGCAGTGCCCACC